AGCTCTACATTTCGCATATTCAAAGATTTTTGTAGTATTTTACAGGGTACTCCTTTGACAAATCAATGTTTCAGATTAAGAATGCCTGAAGACCCTTTTATACATTAAAAACAGAGTATATTAACATTAATGTATTTTGTCACAGGGTTTTTATGGACAGTTTGTATTGTTGAGTTATATTAGTCATTTTGTTTTAATAAACTGTGCCCAAGAAAATCTTGGGGACAAATACGTTTAATATATGCCGAAGTTCATTCACCTGACATCACCCTGGAAAAAAGTTCCACCCAGACAACCTAGTGGAGAGAGTTAAACATCCCACTAGTGTGCTGGTGTGGTCTATGATCTGTGTAGGATATATGGGGCGTCTTTACATTGTAGAAGGGACCATGAAACAAGATCAGTGAAACTGATATCAATGCTTTAAGACTGATTCCCTAGTGATAAAGGATACATTTATCACATGATTTTCAGCATCATGCCACAAAGCTGAGTATTATTGCATTCCTGTCAGAAAACCATTAGTTTTGTTCTGACAAGGGAACTAACCAGACATGAACCTATAGAGATCTTGGGGGAACAAACAGCCGATCACTCGTAAGTAATCCACCAAGAGCCAATCTTTAAAGTCCCTGACAAAAAATGGCATCACTACCTTTGCAACAAAATGCAGAACCCAGAAGAGTAAGTCACATCTATTGAAGCTATAATTGCATCAAAAGGTGGCCATCACTAAATACTAATTAATTTTACCTAAAAATAGTTTTGCATACATCTTTTTACAATTTCAATAATACACTCTTATGAATAAAAATGCCCCTGGAAACAAGGAAAATCCATAAGTTGAAAAAATGCTGTTCAACTATGAAACGCCAAAATCAGAGTCCTGTGCTTAATACTTTGGCCACCTACTGTATGAGCAGTAAAGCCCTGTAGACCAATTAAGAGAAATTATCAAAATGCAGCACTAAGGAGAAGGAAAGAAGAGGGGGAGTATACAGCACTGCCAAGCCAGTTTGAATCTTCAGGCTTGAAGTAGAGGATCAGTAATAGGGAAAATTGTTTCATATCAACAGAATAGCAGAAACCATTCCACTTCAAATATATAACCATGTTTTCTAGATCAAATTATCTTTATATGGATATGACGACCAACCACTAGGCTATTTTTGTCTACTTACAAAAGAAGCCAACAATCTTTCCATATTGTGCACGTCAAAATTTTAGATTCGTCAAAATTTCAGAACTGTTTAGCAGCTTAACAAAATACTTCAGTGAATCTGACAAGAGGTCTGAAAATTTCATTTATTTTAAACAAACAATTTTAGTTACAATGTAAATAACTTCCCAACAGAAGACCTGCAAACTAAATGTGACCAAATTATTTTGTTAAATTCACTTCACAAATATTACACCCCAATGAAGATTTATGTTAATATATTTTGAATCCAAGAAATCACAAAATTGCTGGCCACCAATATTACAGTAATTAATTGTCAAGAAACGTTTCACACAAATAAAATCTTCACAGAAATTCTTAGTAACAAAAGCAAGACTTCTACAAAGCCTCAAAATATTAATCATTTATACCATTTAAGAACATTTAAAATGCAGCTTTACAATTCAAAATTTCAGATTTTTGTAAATAGATCCAGTTTGTAACAGCTTTCATTACTTCGAAACAAAATTAATGTTGTCAGAAATTTAATTTATACAAGCTGCAAAACGCAAAAGGAATTCCCTACATTAGGAACACCTGGAAATCCCTCCTGGTCCACTGGAAAACTGGTACAGGCTACAGGCCTAGCAACCAGTAGTTTATGATCATTGAATTTGTTCTATGAAATAATATTAGCAATATAATGACCAATTCTCAGATTCTTAGGTTTAATTATTTTTTCTCCCTCCTTAACATCTTCAATTCACACGTGTTTCAATAATTACTCAGCTAATTAGATCTTTTCAGTCCTAAAACTTCTAAAATTAGTTATGCCACCAAACACAGCTCGAATTTGCAAATTAAATAATCAAAGTTCGCTCAAGAAAACTTTTCTGAACTGGATTGTTTGGAATTTTACAGAGGAATGAACTCTACATGTAACATTGCTACCTAATTAGTAGAGATCTGAATTTATCAGCAACTCTACATATTTTTATTTCTTCCAAAATACATAAGAAAAAATTAATTGTTTAAAGTTGCTTTATAAAATAATTTTTCAAGCACAGAAAATCGTATATAAACACACATTGGGAGCGACTGAAAGAAAGTTATAACTCCACAGAAGTAATTAGGCACTGTTTTCCACCACACCTTTTCTCATAATATGAAATAGGTTCATGGTATATACAGTGTTTACAAGAAGTCAAAGTGCTGCAGTGAATAGTGGCGCCTTGTAAGCCAGTGGAGAGTAAAGGGCATACACACCCCTGTTTTATTAACATGGTAAATAAGGAAAGGGTATGTAAAAAAAAATTGTTTTTATCAAATGTGACATTTTAAATTTTAGCAAGTAAGTTTGACACAACTACTTCACAAACATACGGGGATACCGAACTGTTCCTAAGGAGGAATTCAGAACAAAGATGTTTGTCATAGAAGCGTAGTAGCATTAAATAGCTTTATACAATGATTCTGTAATGTATTACAAATGCACATCTCAAATGATCTGTTACAACATAAATACAATACAATGTCACATGTATACATTAAACATATATACATTACCAATGTAATGTGTACATGAAGTTACATGTAAAATACTTAATTGAAGCAAATTGTGAATAAAAAAAGATTTAATTCAGAATGTCTTGTGAACACTATGAAACACCAGAATCATGTCATTTATACTGACTTAAGGAGGAAAGTATCTGGAAACAAGTTATGTGTTTATGTCAAAAGGACTTTGCTTGAGAATTCTCTCTAAAAGAAATTGCTTGAGAATTATCTTAGAGACCAAGAACAGTGGCATCTATGAAATATGCACCATTGAATTCATGTCACATGAAACCTTTCAACTTCAAATTGCGAATAGGAAACAACAGGATGCTGTTCAAAGAGATTTTGGGATTGTACACAACAGGGTACAACCATTGCAACAGTGCCCCTCAAAGAAGGTGAATTTTGGTTTTACTTTCTTATTTTCATGAATTTTTAAGAAATAAAAAAATTGACCAAAATTAATTTGTTCTTTATAGCATGATAACAATGAGATTACATTACCTGTCTACTTCAGATATAGAAAAAATTGTTAAAAAACAGAAAAACATTTGAAATACAACAGACCAACAAAACTGACCTTCAACACCAACATACAGTAAAAAACTAAGAGGAAAGTAGACAATGACACCTGGAACAGCCTGTTGAGCCAGAGGCTTGGTGTACAGGGAACACAACCAAACTAACCCTGCCCCCCCCCCAAAAATTACCCCAGATAGAATTGTATGACCTTAATCTATATCCAACTTTGCTACTGCAGAATGTGTTTCACTATCCCTCGATTTGTGATCTGAACACTCTGTTTGCGAAATTGCTTGTGAAAGTACCCTTTGAAAAACAGGGTGCAGCAACATAAAATAATATGCAATAATGCAGACTATACTTGAAACTGTTCTTAAGAATAAAATTGCCACAAGTACTACATAAATCACACCAAACACTAGTCTTGTACCAGACTACAACTGAGAATCGCCAATATAAATGTCATTAAAATTCATTTAATAGTCTTGAAGAAAAGTCTAGAATAATTAAATTTAGAATGTGTATCATTGGATTCTATTGCACCAAAATCCACTTCTTCTGAACTAAGACACCACCAAATTCCACTAAATGATCATACTATTTTATTTACCATACCTACATTGAAAATTTAAGTATTTGCAAGAATCACACTGAAGAAAATTGATAAAGAGTTAAATTGATAAAGTGAATTGTTACTCTTTTCGTCCCAATAAAAGTTTAAATTTTGAATGATTGAAGAGCAAAGCACCTATATTAATTATAAAAAATTAAGAGACCTCCGACCTTTGTCTTTCCAACATTACAAGCCCATGAAAAAACGTACAGAAGCTTTTATGAAAATCGATCTTATAGAACAGCATATGTTCAATAACCTTTCAAGTATAGAACTTATCAAAACTATAATACTAATATGAAGAATTACATCTTACTCCCAAGCCTTTGCTGCTAGTTTGTGGAAGACTATCGAATGAACAATTAACTCAAAGTTCAATTTGTTACTTAGGAATGAACCATTACTTATTTCACAACTTATTTTTCCTGCAAGGAAAAATGTACTTGCAAGGAAATAATTCAAGCACAATGCATTTTTAATGCACAATGCATCTCCTGAGAACAGTTTTATGTAAGTATTCTAATTTTTTTGAACTTCAATCTTTTCCTCCAAGAAAATGTCATCACAGCATTTCAGAGAGCAATTGAGGGGTCATGAGTCCAAAAATGTTTATTATCTTTCATTTCCTTAACTGCAGAAGACTCAAAATTAAATCTTTCAATGACATCAAAGCAGTGAATTCCTTCAGGCTGAAAATGCGATCTGCAAGTAGGAGTCACATTAGTAATCCTTTTCTTCTTTTCCCTCAATGCAGACATTCCAGAGTCTAGCAACATCTTGCACCAATCTAATGTTGCGACAAAATTAGCTTCCCTTACTTCAAAATGCACGAAGTGCATAACCATTAAAATATTGGTGCAGAAATGGTTCCCCTTCAGTACGAGAATAGAAAATCAGTCTTTCTGAAGGATGGAGTTGGAATAGTTATGGCCCTCAATAGTTTGGGCACTGGGTTCAATGCATTCCTTTAAGATCTTTGCGAAATCTTATCCGTACTTTAAAATCCATGAAAATTTGTTCACAAATTTTCAGCATCACAAATAGGAAGGAATAGGTTTAGGACTATCAGTTTGCAAAGACAACACCTGAAGAGTTGCTTGCAACAGGTAGGGTTCTAATCTTCAAATACTTTAAGCTTGACTACAAAGGTAAATTTACATTTAAATTTATTTATAAAATGTCTTAGTGATACATGAATAAGATACAATCTACCTTTTTATGTGTGCATTGCCATATATAATTGAGAAGCTAAAAAAAATATATATAATCGCTGATCATTCAGCAAAAAAGTCAAAGAGATTGTAAAGTCACAGGATACATTAACGACAAGGAGACACCTCTCAATCGACACTAATTTACTTGACTAAGACATGAACTATTCTAATCTAACTTCTTACCGAATGCATATCCCTCCCACCCCACAAGGAAGGCAGAACCTCAAAAATTCTGAATTAATACTCATGAATCTGATTTTTACAAAATACCGGCAAAAATCTTCCCTAGAGGATTAAGAGCTACATTCTAAATTACATAAAAACAATTGTTAATTTACTGAGTCTCAAAAAAAAATTTTTTTTTCCACCAAATAAACGACCCTGTTCAGGGTAAATAATGGTGCAAGTAGGTTTGTAGATATATTTTATTAATAACGTCGCCTCTTGTTGGTAGGGTAATCATCACCACCCCTACGTTCATTCTGGCCCCAGCGTCCACGCGGGTTTCCTCCACGTGGCCCGGCATTAGGACCCCCCATTTCCTCACGCATGTCTCCGCGACCATCGTAGCGTCCAGCTCCACGGTCGTACGCATCCATAAAAGACTTCGGGTCCTATGGTAGTGCCAATGGCCGGATAACAGTATAGACGATAATGACACGTCATCACGGTTTGCCCGTATGCGCATCAGCATGGCAAACAGTGGCAGAACCACGTAATCATGATGGATCCAGCAGCATCAAAATGACATAGAAACAATAGAAAAAAACCACTGTTAGCATTAATAATTGCTCTAGGTGAAGATGAAGTGAACACTTCACCTTAGCAAATGTCATAATAGAAAACCTGTGAATAATAAATCACCACCTCTAACTATAAATTCGACCACAAACAACCAAACCAGGAAATAGCCAAACAAAGAAACATCACACACCATATGATTCCTTTAAATAAACGCCCACAGAGACAACGATGATTATTCCCACAATGCAGGATCAGTAGTAACTCGATATCACGGAGTTAATCGTCACATTAGAAAAAGTTAGTCTTCACAAGTGTTTGTTCTTGTCCAACTTTTGAAGCAACACTTCAATAACTCCTGTCCCTTACCACATTGAAGACTAATATACATTATTACATATATACAAGCATTAGAATTAAAAAGTACAGCCTTAAATCATTTCTTGATTTATTCTGGCAATTCACCTTTCATGTAATTTCAATTTCTTCTTTTGATGTTTGAACAAGCTTGAAATTTCTGCAGAAGTTTCGTCATATTTTAAATGCAGAACTTCATTGTCTGCCAACTCTTCAGAAACCACAATTAACAGAAACAAAGGCTATCCCTTCAGCTTCGCACATTATATCTTTACAGATCCGTTATATTAGTACAAGTATTGTAGTAGTAGTAATTGTATTAGTATTGAGTTTAAGTGAACTTACCTGTACTACAGTAAACCTTAAAAACAACTAAGTTAAAATCTCTTATATAATTTAAAAAGAAAAAAGGACAGGTATTTATCAGTTTTAGATTCATACTGACAAAAAACCATCCGATTCTGAACTGTAAAAAGATCTCCAATGTGCAAAACACTTTGCCCTTTACAAATTTACAGGATCATTATTTTATCTCACCATGTATGAGCCCAGAAATCTTTGGAGCCAATCAACACAGCAGCGGCAAGTATGTCAAGATAGAAACAGGCATGCCAGGTCAGTATGCTCTAGAGATAAAACCGAGAAAATAATAAAAATGTACAGAAGTTATGACGTTTATTAATCAAGACAATACTCCATGAAAATTAGGACTGAGAAATCTCAGTTCATGTGTATCATTGCCAACCTCTTCATGTTTAATAATAAATGAGAAATCTTTCTGCGTTATTGATTTAACTTAAGTTTCAGCGCACCCATAAAATGTGTCAATTGAGGAAACAAAAAATTATATATGAAATTTTATATTACACTAATTTTAAAAAAATCAGTTTAAATTCCTGCAACATGTTGGAGACAATCCTTACACTCCCTCAGATTCATGCACATTATAGCAGAGCTATTATGCTGCAAGACGCAACTACAATTATGCTCGGTGATATACGATTATTATCACACATTAAATGATCTTGTTTTTCACACTGATCAACAATTACACACATCCCTGTTTACTCTCAACATCAGTTAATCCCTACTAGAACTCTTAGCCATATTCACCCTATACATTGTGCACCTAATTCAACTATGAGTAGATTGTTGTCAGTTATGAAGAATATTAAAATTTCTATAAATTTATGCATTGCAGTACACAATACTGATTTTGATCTTTTCAGAACTCCTGAAACATCACTTGTAAATGTACACGAAGACAAATTCACTAATGTTTTTTTAATTATGTAATTTTGGGCGATGGCTTCTGAATAAACAAGTCAAAATTACTCAAGAAATTTAGTGAGTAATACATGAATTTTTTTAAATTAAAAAATTCATAATTTCATTTCTTGTAATGACAATTTAGGTTATTTTTCTTTCCTCATCGTGCACTCTTAGGACAAGTGATTCAATAAAGAACTGTCTGTGGACAGAATAAGTGGTTTTCCTACGAACTAATACAGCCACGCTCAGTTGCGGGTTGCACACTGAACAAGACCATGTAAACATGCCTGCATAAACATAAGCATGTACAAACTGCCCCTATTCCAATCACTTCTGCAGAACTTGCAAGCCCTTTTAATTTTTATTTGAATGGTTTAGTTTCTTTAAGCAATGCTCTGCCACTTCTTGAAATTACAATCAAAAACGTTTTTAATGCAACAGTACATATTCTGTATCTCCTGTAAATGTAATATTGTGATTAATTTACTTTTCTCTCATATCATTTTCCAAATTTAAATAAAAATTGTAAGATTCATTCTTTGTAACATTGGCAATGAATGAGTATTTTTAAGTATTAATAAGAATGTTTGAAAATTTCAGAAAAAATTTGGATGAAAAAAAATTAGAAGAAAAAATATGCCACCCTACCCCTATGTAACTAAGTATAACTGCCTTGCCCTCTTCAATGTTATGTAATTTATGGACAACTCCAAATGTGAAAATGAAGCCATTTGTCATCCTCTCTGCCCCACACGAAGACCCTACTCTTGCCTAGATTCCTGCCATAGAAAAGTGCTTTTGCCCTTTTACAGCATTTTGGTTTGCATACAATGTGTGACAACTTAGTATTCAAAAATCTTTCAACTTTTGATTTCACTAATTAGAACCTCAGTTTCCTGGGCTAATCAAAACCAAGACTCCTCTAAAAAAACCCATTAATGCCATAACAATGCTAAATGAACAAGCAAGAAGACATCCATTGTATTAATTTGAAGATTCTGAAATGTTGCAAAATTTGAACATCCTTTAAAAAACAAACTTCCAAATTCCAATTAATTACAATTTCCCCTAATACCACTGACATGAAATTAACTATACTACAGTATGTGCCAAGTAAAAAATGCAGGGAATTATTTAGGCAATTATGGCAAGTATAAGGCCATCTTGGAATTTCCTCTGATTACAACTCAAAGGCTACAGAACTGCCACATTATTAATCTTCACTACTTAAAGCTTTTCAGTTAACTTTTTCTTTGAACAAGGTGCAAGCAAATTATGTCAAATTATACCTCACTGTAAATCAAGGGGCAACTTCAGAGCTCGCTTTCAGAATTCAATAGCGATTAATCAGTGTTCAAGAACTGTCAGAGTTTCCTTGTTACTAAAAATTAACTATAGTGTTTGACACAGCATACAAAAGTTGAAATATGCATATGAAAGTTGTTAAGACTAAGATTGGAAATTAGAAATCAGCATTTGATTGAATTTTGTTTCATTGTATGGAAATTTGCGACTGAATTTAGGAAAACATTCCGAAGCAAAAAATCGTTAATGTGACAAAACGAAAGAATTCTATAGATTAGTCTTATAAAGCTTTTACAGAGTGGCCACTGGTTTTCCAGAGCATTGTTTTAAATTCTCACTAATATAATTTGTAGAAAACCAAGTGTGAAACTACTGTGACAGATCCGAGATTGTTCACCATTTCAATAGCTGCTCCCTACATTTTTAAAGCAATAAATTTTCCAGATATTTCCGTTTCCCAAAAAATGGCCCCCCCTCTAACAGTTTTTGAAATTTCCCTTGCGAGAGTCAAGACTTGCACATCTCATCCAAATCAGTTTCAAAATTTCTACCCTTTCTTTTCCAACAAAACAGGATAATATCAGATATGATCCAAGGACATGTTTTTACCAGTGATTAAAGCAATTGCAGAGGTCAAATTTGTATCAACTAAAATTGTACTTATTCTGGAAACTGCTGCTTTTAAAATATGTTGCCAAGAGCTTGTGCATTAAGATAGGTCAGTTCACCCAACACAGTAATTGTTTATCACTGAATACAAGCAGTTTTGGCTTCCCAGGATAAATAAGTTTGTAGCCTTGTTTGTCCTTTCACAGCACTACAAGGACATAGCCAACAACCCTCGCTATGACAGTCTACCATTGCAGTGGAGCCATAAGGAGCTCACGAGAAATTCGAACAGAATATTAATTGTTTCACAGGCATATTTCAGCTATGTCAAACCAATGGTCAAAATACTCCATGAACAGACTCATTTAATACAAGCAACGAACAAGAACACAAAATTAAATACTCCTTTCATAGAACTGAATGATAACTTCATGCTGTAACCAATATTCCAACAGCCACTATTTCAGAAAGGAAGTCCCTAACCAGCGTCTAGTAAGAAATTTTGAAACTATTTCAATATTACAAGGGAGCAATTATTTTGTTCATTATATTGTAGGTTGTAATGCAAACAATTTTGACAGCAGCTGGTCTTGGTTTAACAAAAATGACCAAGTAAATATTTGCATTTAACTTTTGTATCTGCAACAGGCACATCAGCTTAGTCAAACATATGCACCAAAGCCTTTTACATCATATTTCTTCACATTAAGAAACCTGTATTTAATAACTCTACGTTAGCAATGATATTTTACTCGAAAATTTCCAAATAATTTGATAAGGGAATGTCCTGTAATTGAATGTTGTGATGAAGCAGGTGGCTGGGAATGTAATATTACTGGCTTAATTGCTACGTTCAATTATATGTGTTTTAAAATAGGACCTGATTTTCTAACTATACAAAACACACACAAGTTTGGATTTTCATACCTCTTGTAGGTGAAAGCAAATACTATACTGTGTATGTTAAAAATCTAAGCACAAAAAATGAATAAAATACAATTCACAAGATACACAACATGTGACAGTAATTGTCCCTCCTCGCACAAAAATGGGAAAGAATAAATGGGGGCAATGGACAAATCTTCCTGAAACAATCAATAGGAAAGAACAGGAACAAGAAGCTTCCAATTAACAATTACAATTACTCTATTTGAATCGTCAGTCATATGTAAGTAAATGGGATAGAGTATTCATTCAGTTCTATCACTGTGGGCACCTTTATTACATTTGAATTATCCATCATTTTATTATTAATAATTTAAATTTCTATACATTTATCACCGTTCCTATAATCCCCTTAAAAATATGAGGTTTCAAGACTTGCAATCTCAAAGAAACATTAAGCATTAGAAGGCCCTGGATTCTCTCTCTCTGCCCCAGTACAGAACATTCTCACCAGATTTTTACAGTATTCATTGTTTTTTAATTGGGTAAAAATGTATAAATAAATACATTCATGTTCAGGTTCACATCAACAATGAGGAAACTTTGAAATTATCAAATTATTTTTTAGCCTTTCTCATTAGTCTGAAAGGAAGGTCAACAATAACTTTGCTTTTTCGGTTTTAATTTCTGGCTGGAGCAATTTTATTTCACGTAAACAATTTATTAACAATTAAAAATATTGTATTACATTGATGAGAACTTTTTCACTGAAACAAAATCCGAGAACTTTTCTAGAAATATTTTCAAAATGACTCGTTTGGTTAGTCAAAGACAAAAGGTTTTCTCTCTAATTCATTTATCCCAGAGTAAAAATTCACAGGATTGAAACCTGGTGTTCTTTGTCAAAGCATTCTTCAGTATTCCTTGAAATTTACATATAGAAAAGTAAAAAAACTCCTCTTGCTCAATCTATTCCATTGACCAAGACTGACAAATCATCGGCTGCACATTGGAGGATAGATTACCAACAGTTGCAAAATTCCGTAACAATGTTCTGCATTACTTTCAGTATTACCTTTCCTATTACCAGTCCCCAGGAGGGTCCTGAAATTCATAAAACCTTCCTTATAAGCTGGCTTCTAATGCTTAAGTTATTATTCTCATCTTGGGCAGTCACTGATCCAGAGAATTTCAAGATTAACATCTTCATGCAAATAAAAACATCACTGACAATTATGTTTTCACTATGGCTGAAATGCATTACAAATCACAAGAATGCACTTTAATACCTGCACTAGTTAAATCAATTGTAGCTAAATTATAACAAATTTATATTTACGTTTCACAGAGTCATACTACGAACACACTCCTAATGTTAGAATTGTTTATCATCTTCAAATTTATGGAAATGCTAGGAAGCTCACAGAAGCAATCTTAATTTTAACCTCATTGGTATGGCTCTTACTTATTTTGATGAACTTGAAATGATGTCAACTATGAGGGGAGGGGACACTTGAAATGTGCATGTTATTTCACATCAAGATAAATTTGTTTGCAACTTGTAACCGGAGGTAATATAAAGACACTAATTTTTAATCTCCGAGATGCTGCTGTAGATAGCGCACCAGCAAATAAAAAGTACCAATACAAACGCGAAAACAATTTACAGTTTTGTCCTTTGAGTATAGATTAATGCAGCGGCAAGGTATCTACCCATAAAATCTCGTAAAAATGCATGCAAAGTAGTGTATTGTTACATAAGAACAGTTCAAGAAGTCATTTCAGCGTAGTTCATTGATCAAAGTGATGAAGAAATTTATTTAATGATTATTTTGAGAATCAATAAAGGAATTTGTACAGTAATACAACTACTGTAGGTTGTTTCTTTAACAACTAATTCTAATTATTCTGTTTTATGTTTGTAGACCAAATTTGGCCCATGTATGTCAATGTTCTTCACTATTCCATATTATATTGTGGAAATCCATAGCATATTGCAATATTAATGTGTGAATGAATAAAGTAAGTACAGCACTAGTGGCTATTAATAAAATTCGACACTCCGACAGGGCACCAAAACACACTGGTAACCCTGGATGACAAAAGTAGCACAGGGTATCTTCAACCTTCACTAAATGATTTAAGAAAACTTCACAAAAATAATTTTATTCCTTGAACTTTATTGCCCCTTTTGAAAGGCAGCTCTAATAATTAGAGCAAGAAGATTTGGTTAAGACCAAACACTCAAAATTGAGTTTTATTTCTTGTTCTTTAGTGCCACAAATTTCACAAGATTCTTCACATGCAGTTTCAATTCAAGCAAACGGCAATGTCTTCATTCTGTTCATTGTTTTGCTTCATTTCCTTGCAGTTGAATGTTTCATTCATGATTGAGTAGAATAATTGTGCAATTATGTTAGTTCCAAATCTATCACTCCACAGAAGCTTTCTGAAAACTGCGGTGTTCCAACAAGAATTAATACATATGTTCATTTTTCTGTAATTTCATAGAAAGTCTTGTACTTCATTCATCATCCAATTGTGTTAAGTTTCATGTGAAATCCACCAATATTAAAAAAGTAGAATGTAATAAAACCCCAGTCACAACAAACATCCTTTTTCTCACCCAAGATGAATGTGAAGGTCTCACAATAATAGAGTACAATTGAAAGAAGGTAGCCATACCATATGATATGTGATGCTCAACTTAAGTTTGATATTTCCTGGTCCGAACTACCAATGTCTGCATGCACAATTCATATCAGTCTGTTAACTGAATAACTCTGGTCAAATTACTTCATACATCAAAATGAATTCTTGAAAATAAAGTGGTCAAGGTCTACACCATTAGTTTTTCAATCAACAGGCTGAAGGAGATCACAACTCTCATAACCAAGAAGTTGTGTTTCCTCTCAGAAATTAGAACCGGTCCACAGCAAAATAAATACTTGCCAGACCTGCAACAGATGCCATCGAGGAGCCATCGCAACCCATATCATTCAGAAAAGAAAAATAAATAAAAATCGGAACGAATTAGTTGAAGTCAGAGGTTCAAAAGACGCACACAATTTTATAACCGTTTACGAAAACATAGAAACGGTAAAGACTCAATATTTGTATGTTAGCGATATCAACGACATTTTCTTTAGAATATATTTGATTTTAGAGTAGAATATTGCACAAGAGCAACACAACTAAGGTTAAACTTTCCGATACCAACATCAAGACGTATATATAATACCAATCGCAAGCTGTTCTAAAAATTTTATAGCTGGCAGACAAACATCAGCCCATGCACTGAAATCACAATATCTCATTTGGTCTAATGGTTTAATCTAACTGGTTGAATTCTGGCCACACAGTATTTCCAGCAGTGCTGTTGAACACTGTCTGTCAACAAGTAGAGAGATATTTTCGAAACTCATAACGCAGAACACGTCTTATGACACAGTACCTGAAGAAATTGTTTACCAATAGGAAACTGTGCAAGGTAACAAAATAAATAAATAAAAATAAAGTAACGTCCAACACTTTTACCTCAGAGCTACACAAGGGTCAATATTGCTCCTAAATGCTAGGAACAAATTTAAACCAGAATACCAGTCAAAATCATCTTTCCATTTTACTGAAAAGAGATGCTCTTTGATAGACATTTCAGTAAACCACACGACTGATGTCATTCACAAAATATTTTGTAATGAAACTAACAATTCCACCCCAGAACACAACTGAACATTTGTGGATTTGTTAAGTCATTTTATAAGCATAGACAGTGAAGTATTAGAATGCCTAATAATTATTTTTAAAAATTTCATATGAATTCAATAACAAGCAGTATGTCAATTATTAGACTTCAAAAAATTTGTATTAGCATTAGAATTGTCCTATTTATTTCTAAAATCGCTTTCAGAGGAAAACTAAAAATAATTTTCCCAAATATTCATACATTTACAAGAGTTTACAGACTTATCACAAGTGACAAATCCAGAATAACATTCTCTGAAGTGAAGAAAATAAAAACCCAAACACACACACACATTGAAGATTATCTGGTAGTATCAAAGCTGCAGAACAATATCCATTCAGAGCCTTGTTACTTTCAATGAAGAAAAAATCCATAGAAGCAAAGGACTGCATGGCTCATCGAGGCACATTTCCAAAAATGATATTAATCAATTACAGATATTGCAAATTTAGCTGTTGCAGATTCCAGCAAGACGTGAGCAAGAGAAGTACATCGTTAATAAGTTTTCTATTCGCAGGAATATAAACAGGTGATCAACCATCTCCAAATTGCTGAAAATCAACCAGGAGATATATCGCTTTATATAGTTAATAAAAACTGGTAAAATAGTAAACTTTGTTAGTACATTACCGGTGGAATATTCCCTGGACCAGCTCCTGTAAAAGAAATTTTAAAAAAGTAAATGTTTGCTCTAAAAATTAACACATTGAAAAAACTTACTACACATTTGTAACAAGAACTTTCCCAACTGGATTGTGTAATCATTAATGTACCTTTATCAGAAAATAACTTTAAAATTTTAACACCAAAAACTGAATTGCATAGTTTTCCCACATCTACTTCTTCCTGCAAGGGTAGCCAACATCCACGTAGCCTAATCACCTGCAGAATCATCTGATTGTTACTAGTTTTCTTGATATGCAGATCTCTCACTACTTTGTTTCCTAAATTGTTTAGTCTGTGCTAGCTTTCTGGTTTTTAAAATAAAAACAATTTTACTTTGTGCAGAAGCACGCCACTCTGACCTTTCAACGTTGTGTTTGATTCTAGTCAAACAGTAAAAACTGTATGTAAGATGGGGAGAAGTACTAACTTCACATGTTCTTGAGAATTCCAGAATCTCTTCACAACATTTAAACTAGTATAAATTAAATTATGCATACAAGTTTCTGACTTCACTCTTTCTGAACACAACTAGAAGTTTTCACCCCCTGAGTTATAGAAAATGTATGTACACCAGTAAACAGCTGCTTTTTTTGTTGTACTGCTAACAAAATAGTACCACCTCTGGCACTACTTCTACCATTACTGGCGTAAGGTGGGTTTAACAAAATTTGTGACTGTCCATGTTTTTGCATGATGTTTGAGCATGTCCAGAAGCACAACATCAGGCCATCTCAGCATTTCCTCAATGGAACAGGAAAAATGAAGACGAAGCTTAAGCACATTACTTTTTATTTGTAACACATGCAGGGCAGGCAAACACTCCCAATGGAAAATATAGCACTGATACTCGCATTTTGTGCAGTTTGTGTTGCAACCTTTAGTACTTTAGGTGCATTGAAGTAAGCACACACAAATTGCGTATCATAACACATCTTAGATTAACAATGTCTCATGCTCAACCGCACACAAGTGATTTTAGTGGCATGTGCTTTGCCCACAGTTCATACTACAAGTCTTGGTATACAAACTTTCTAATTTTTAACGCGAGACAACCACTTGTATTAGCAAGAGCACTAGTGTGCAGTTTCACATATAATAGTGTTAAATCTATGACTCATTACTTTACACGTGTGCAAGCATCAACGCCATCAGCATTTGGTGACCCACATCAAGAACACTTGTTACATGGGCCACATATTTCCTTTAAACGCACAATTTCTACTGTGCAATACTGATGACCATTATGCAATGTCGCAAAGAATGACATTAACCTCCCTACTTGTTCATTCTTTGGTGTTGTTCAAAATTCCAAAACCAGTTAGATCACTTTAAAATAACTAACCTAAATATCCTGAATACTGAAGTCGACACACACATTCTGTGAGCTCCTCTACAATAACCTAAATGTACTCAGTTTATCACATATTGACCGACTGTCTTAAAGGGACTATGAAGCGTGTAAGAAAAAACTTACAAATGAAACTTCTCAAGTAATTTAACATTGGAAGTATAGGAAATTATCCACGACGTCTTAAAAAACAATGTGGAAAATGTGCAAAGTGCAAAACAGAGTTCCAGTGCACTTTTGGATCTTGATTTTGGCAAGGGGTGATTACTTTTTGAACCAGTTACTGATTAAGTGCATAAAATATCTGTTTTATGGCTGGTGAATGGTGTACTCCAACTTACCAACTGCATCATAATCTCTTAACGCTTGCTCAGCTGATGGAGAATCATAGCCAGCAGGAGTCTGCCTCAATGCCTGCTCTTGCTGGTCAAGCAGGCTGTTGAGCTGATGAGCCTGGAAAGATATCCCACTCTTTTTACTTTTATTCCTATATTAATGAAATAAAATATATAAAAAATATAAGAGTAAAATCAGAGAAGAACACTTAAAAATAAATCACTGTACAGCATTAGATCAATCATCATTTATAATCCGGCAACATTCTGTAAGAAATTAGAAACTAACCTGCATAAAGAGAGAGTTCTCTTGTTGCCTGCGTCTCAGTTCTTCCTCTTGATGATGCATCCGCAACTGCATTTCTTCTTGTTGACGTCTCATACGTTCTTCATCAGCTATCCTCTGTTCTTCTGCTTGTCGCTCTTTCATCTCCCACTCACGTTTTTGACGTTCACGATCAAGTTCACGCTGTCTCAGTTCTGTAAAATATAATTATCTTAAGTTTTGTACCCCTGAAGGGGAAAAGAAAAAAAAGGCGAGAGCTAGCCAGCGAGCAAGAGAGAAAAGAAAAAAAAAATACATACGTTCTCTCAAAATTTCAGTTTCATGCTCATAACGAGCATATTCCATTTGAGCTTCAAGTTTTTCTTCTTCCATTTTCATCTCCCGTTTAAGAGCATCCTCCTTCTGTTTATGAAGTTCATATAGTTGTTTCCAACGAGTACCATATTCATACTCAAAACTTGCAGGATTAGCAAATCTAGGACCAACCTGCACACAAATAAAACCCCATAAGCTTGGCTTGAGATGAGAAAAATCTATTGTTCCATTGACTTAAAAGCATGGAGGGAGATGAGAAGAATTCTGCAGAAAGTTTTGCAATAGAAAAAAAATGCCACATTACTAAAAGTTGGTGCGTAAGTGACTTTAATATAAGTTAGCAACACACATTTAAACATAGAAGTTGATAACATTGGGCCAACAATCACTCTGCCCTCACTGACACCACAATGAATAATTGTTATGCAGGCACAACTGATTCAGCTATTAACAGGTTAACATTTGCAAAAATTTCTCCTAAGATCTAGTCGAGTCTAGTCTGTTAAAGTTGAGGATTTTCCGAAGAGATGGGTTTGTCCAAGCCATTTTTGTGAATGCAAGAATATAGATTACAAAACCAAATACTAAATGAATCAACATCAATAAAATTAGAACAGTAATTGTTTATAAATACTACTTACCTCCCGAGCCTTATAATATTCTGGATTTTTCTTTGGAAGATTCTTTTCAGCATAACCATCAACATCATCAAGTTGTTCAAAAGGTTCCACAACTACAGGTCGCAAAGACCTGAAAATTAATCAAAGGAGAATCTAAATAAACCGACTAATAAAAACTGAGAATTGTTCACAGTAATAAATTTTTCTACAAATTATGACATTCCTGCACAGGTATTAGAAAATTAAGGTTTAAAACCCTACTCACGCTGTCAGAAAGAAGCAGCCATCAGTACACCTCCTCAATGCCATCTGTGCACCCGGTTTTCGGGCAAATTCTACAATACCTTCCTCCATTGACTTCCCCCTCTCATCAACAATTATAACAGCACGCTCAACCTATGAATATTTCACACCATATTAAAATCAATGCATTAAAAAACTTAATTATTTCAGTTTATTTTTTGTAAATTTAATCACTTACTTCACCAAACACTGAAAATGCTTTCTCCAGCAATTCATTGGTAACCCAAGGTGTAAGGTTCTTCACCTTAATGCAAGCACTATGAGGGGCAAAGCGCACTTTAAGAGCTCTACCTTTTCTCAAAGATCCATCGAGTTCTCTTTTTGCCTTTTCAGCATTTGCTCTATAATCCTAGAACATTTATTTTAAATTTGAAGACCATGAACAAGTTTACATATTTATATTACAGTTGGTGAGAAATTACCAGGCGAATAAATGCAAAGTTCTTTTCCTTGTTGACAAACAATTCTGCTGTTTCTCCATACGGTGCAAATAACTGGCTGATTTCTTCCTCCGTCACATCATTAGTCAAATTACCAATGTATAAACGACAACGCCCAGAGAACTTCTTCTCATGTGTGTCTTGTGGAGGTAAATCATGAGTTGGAGCTTGCAGAGCGGCAAGTCTTTCATTGAGACGATCCTATAAAATAAGAAGTCTTGTTGTATACATTCCCTGAACATCCCGAAGCTGCCAGGAATGTTAAAATTCATATGACTTAACCAGAAAAATTTTAAGCAGCAAAAATATCAATTTAACAATAGCCATTACGAGATTTTTGCCCAAATTACACCAATATACCAACAATGTTCATTATTTACACAGATCTCTTCGCAAGCAAACATTAAATATCTCATTATTCCCTTGCTTTCTTTTTTAACCCCTTTCCTTTTAACATTTCAACTGAAATAGATCCTTGAATTTTACATGCAACACAAAGCAGTAGCTTACATCCTGTGACCGCATGCCTCTTTCATCACGTCCCGCTCCTCCGATGCCACCTCTGAACCTGTTGATACGACCACCTCCACGCCCAGGACCCCCAGGTCCCATCATAGCCCCCTGACCACCAGGACCACCTTCTACATCCAATTTCATGTCAGACTTAATCTAGAAGCAAACAGAACTGAACATTGGAATTTTTGCCATCATAAAGGACATCGGAAAAAAAATTAGACACTAAAGAAGACAACAGCTACTTCAATAAGTAAAGTCAACTAACATATTTGTACACAACTAGAAATATTTAACTACTAGCAGGTTGCAAGACCTAACATTCAAGTGAACAAAAACACTAATAAAAAACTGAGCATGCAAGGTGTCACAGCAATGAAGTTCAAAAGAAATTTTCTTTTAACAAGTAATTCCAACTTCAATGCACAGAGCTGACATTGGTTCAACAACAGCAGCAAATATCTGATTTTGAAAAACAATAACATTCCTGTATTGGTAATTTTTAAGATCTCACAAAACAGAAGGGCCTAAAACCTTAACATAACAAAAGCTCTGTTTATGACTTTTGAATGACAAATGGAAATTACACTGCTCAGGCTTGATGTTTAATATTAATCACATAGGCCATAGACTTCACTCAGCTTATTGAATGTTCGACAAAACGTACTTAGGTATAAAAGCACCTGACAGAGCAAGGGCATTTAATGTTAATCACATAGGTCAAAGCAGTTTCTTTAAGAGTATGACAAAATTGCACAACTTTTAATCTCACAATCACAAATTGTTTTAAGAATGTATTTCAATGCAATCTGATATAAATACAAGGAGGAGTCAACATTATCTATTCAAATATTGCCAACTTATGAAAATGGAAAATGATACAAGACACTAATTATTCATTCATTCACACACACGCAATTTATATACAGAAATACCAAATTATTTTCCAAGGCAGCAATTCAATACTTCGCTTAATTTACAAATTATTTAATGCTCCAACCACGTTTACAGGTAGCGGTTAATTTACTCAATTAATGAGAGTATTTGACTCAAACATCAAGAGCATACTATCATATGTTAAATTAAAACAAGTTGAAGTTAGGATTCAGGTGATAAGCAAGGACACTGTTCTATAATCAGGCTTCAATTTTGAATACAGGTAACTCCTGATTTGATTACCACATCCAAGTCTAGCTGTGAACTTCAGATTTCTTTTAATTGGAGAAAACTTTGATTATTGCTAAAAATACAACTCATTCCATTCTCAAGACAATGGTGGTGACCTTACCCATTCTTAGGGAAATTATCAGATTCCATCTCTATCTCAATAACAGATAAGAACCCACAGGAATTTTACACAAGTGCAAGAGAAACTTAGCAAAAACGGTAATAGCTGATCCCAACTCTTACAAAAGTCTTCAAACGTCCACAAATTCATATGTACTGCAGTAAATATAGTAACGTCTAACCAATTCCAACTCTAGTAATTGAATAATATCTGAGATCAAGGGAATCTACTAACTGGAACCAGAGGATGAGGAAAAAACACCAAGTGTAGAAACAGAAGAATGCAAAGAGCTATTTAGAGGAAAAGATGAAAAAATTCCTGAGGCCAACAAGACCTTTTAAGACTTAAAGCAACATTTACCCAATAATTAGTAGGTGGTCTCGTCCCAACAAACACATTGTGAATTATAATATTGTATTATAGAAATGGTATGTTCTCTGAATTGAAATTCTAATATGGCCTACATTTCATTAATTAAACAAGAACTGAAATCACCCGTTTTCACAACCATGCCCCTTCATTACAATTTTACAGTATTTCATATTCATCCAAGTTTCTGCAAAAGCAGTAGCAACCTGTAGCTAATACATACACATTTTCTATTTGAATATTTGTATATAATTTAAATCTCATGCAACACTCGCAGGATTTGCAAGAATCTCTCCAATAAAATTCCACTATGAAATAATTACAGAGGTCTCTGTACTTCACTGCAACAAATAAGTGCTCCAACAACACATTCTTTCTCACAATATTACAGTTTTATCATTATGCACAAGGAGATACCCATATGCTTCAATAAAAGGAAATTACAAGATTTTGCACAACAGTCAAGAGACAAAAATCTCCTTCATATTTTATAGTTTGGAATTTTTGAAAGAAAAAATAGCAAAACCCCAAAGAGGGACTAACACCATATTTTTTTACCGTCTCACACTTGTTACACATGTAGAAAAAAATTTAAAGAAAATTTGGAGAGGTTTATGAGAATTTTTTTTGTTTGTGATTGTCAATCACAAAATACGCAAAACTATTAGTTTGCTCAAAAAATTTTTGCATTGTCTCTTTTGAAGAGCCTGTTTTGTACAACAGACCTAGACAAATTTCCAAAAGTTTGTTTTTTTAAATTTCCACTTTGGAAAATTTGAGGAAGTCATCAAAATGTAGACCTGCACCGTTCTCGTAAACATCCTTTGACCTAATCAACAAAAATAAACTGAAGCACCCTCCAAAATTACAATATCGATTTTTAAGTCCATGGTCCGCGACTTCAACTAGCTGAACGGTTTATGGGCTAGCGTTGTGCACGGTCAGACGATGACGTCAATCGATATTTTGGTATCAAGAACCGATAAAACTGATTCTGACTACACGTCTTAGCATTGTGTTTCTATATTTAGCTACTGGATTAATTCTTTTTCCTTACTAGGTCCCGGCAATAAGTTGTGTCGAAAATTCGCCGTTCTCTGGCGAACGATTAAAATAGTTACATCACAATACAATTACAATACTAAGTTAGGAAGTGCGAGAAAATGAAAAGGGCTTTAAAATCATAGCTTGCAATGTTCAACTCTAAGAGATTTGAATAAAATCATTTGAATAGTCATACGCCACATTAAGTCAGCAGCTGAAATGCAGTTTGTGATACAATTTGTTCAGGGGCGGTAACACGTACGATTCGTTTACATGCGAATATACATGGGAGAAAAGTGTGGGGTGAAAATGATTTTTTGTATGTGAAAATACACAAGCCAACTAATTTGTAAAGTATCTTCGCAAAAAATGCGAACGGTAATTATGCGTTGGACACGTACGTTTTCGGCCAACGCGACGACCGAAAGTCCGAGCCTCGTCCTGGACTTCGAACTGCGAAGCAAAGCGTCACATTTTTGCGGGATGTGCGTCGTCTGCTCACACCGTGACCAATACACTTTGGTACAGGGCTGTCGAACTGGCGCCCCGCTGTGCCATTGTGGCCAACAAGGTCATTAGCCAAATGAAAATCCCTGTAGGGCAAGAACATTTCGCGCCCAGCACATGCTCCGTCGAGTTCAACCCCTTAATATAAAAACAGGGTGAGTTAAGATTTCAATTTTTTTTTGTAAATTCAAAAATCCCAAAGAGTTTCCTTGCGTTATGCATGGTACAGACGCCATGCACGGTTTCACCCCCCCCCCCTTGATAAACTTGGCACTCACCGAACTATTTTGTGAATAAAATTAGTATTCATTAACAGACTTATCGAAAAACTTCCGTGGGTATATGTTTTTTGAGTTATAAAAATTATGGAGTCTAAGTACCTTTTACCTAAATTAAATTTAAATTCAACGTTTTTAGTAATCAGATTATATTAATTGGAACATTCCTCACCTGGCCGTCTCAAGAGTAATTGATAAAAGATTTGCTATATTCATCACAACCTGAAGTACTGGCTCTAGGTCTAGGAGTAATGCTGTACAACTTTTGTCAGCAGTTACTCTGAGTATAATTGAAAACTGCACCAACTTTATATTTTTATTCACACAACCACCAACTATATTATAATTCACTTATTGTAAAGACTGGACTAATTTAACCCAGCAAGAAAAAAAGTAAAGGTGCTGAAATCAACCTAACCTATACTAAGTGGACTTAATTTCAAAATTACATTTTAAAAAGCCTGTATTCAAATCCGGTAGCAGTAAGGTAAATGGTGGCTTTTACCAAGAAACCTGTTAAACAGATTTAAAATAGTACTTTTTATCATAATAAAAAAGTTATACCTCACCAGCGATCTAATAGTACTTTGAAGTCTGTCACTAGTGCTTCACACTATATTCTCTGTGATTCTTTAGAAAAAAAATTGCATCTATTCTGGATAGATTTATTGACATCCCGACCCATCATAAACACACAATCACAATTTTAGCTCTACAAAACTGAAGTAGCCATCTAAAGACACTAAATAGTGTGCAAATGTCCCATAGATATCAAGCTTCTGCATCATTCTTAAAAACATTAAGCAACTTAGTAATTCAATAACGAATGGATGAATAGTGGAATTTGATTTTGTTCATTTCGTTAGAACTATTGCTTGACCACATGTCAATTGAGTTACTCAATTTTTGATCCACCAATACATTCTGAATGTGAAATGTATTTGTGAACGGTTATTTCTTCCTCCACACGCTGAGACGGAACTAATACAGGAATACAGAATTAATTTGAAGCAAAAGTGCACAATTTCGTTCTAAATACCAAG